AAAAAAATAAGAAATCAGGAAGGGGGCAAACACTTTTTCACACCACTGTAGCTAGACAGGAAATTTGCAATACCACACATGTAAGACATCAGGATATTCTCCTATGATGTATACTCCAGGAACAGAATGTTAGGATGGAATTGATGTTTGATAGGAAAATATAACAAATGTGTTTACCATTTTAAAATCCTCAAAAAAGTGAAAAAGTTGTTGATACCTTATAGTGTCGTTGCCATAACATCCTATATCCCCAATACCCAGATCATCCACCATCATCAAGACAAAGTTGGGCTGAGGGTCACTGTCTGCATTCACCATTTCCTCGCCCACAGACAGGCACAGCAGGAGCATCAACACGCAAAATCTGGATTATTAAAAAATGAAAAAGCAATTTGTTTTTAAACCAAAATTACCAAGCGGCATTGAAGCTTCCAAACCGTCAGACACATTTAAGTGGAAACTTTTCCTGAGTGCCCTTCAATTTTGGAAATAATTAAATTTATTAAACCAGAACCTAAATATTCACCTTGAGGGAACTGGGATCTACAGTATAAAAGAAAAGGTTAATGCTGAATGGAGAATCATGTCTCTCTTTCTTTTAACAATCACAAAAACACTGCATATTAACGTATTGTGAAACAACTCCAGCGCGCTGGAACAGAATTCTTATTGGCATCACGAATATCATTAACATTATTATTCATCTATATTATACTAAATACATACCATTTCGTTTCTTTTAATCTAGTGGTACAATGTGCAGTCATTTAAAATGCACACTGAAAGTTCAGTTACTGTTCACCTTTACAGGAGTGTCTTTGTACTATAGGTGTTGCAGACTTAATTTCTTGAGTTAACTCAGTGCGTACAAGACACGCAACACATCCAACGCGAACACGATATATAAAGTACCTTTGGCTTTCTTTGCGCTTCATGACTTCAGAGTATATTCGCCCAACCTTTTAGCGGCCTGCCAAATACAATAAAATTACAAGAGACATAGGATAATCGAAAGTATTACTTCATAGGACTTTTCAGTTCCACGGAGCCACTTGAATGAATGGATCTCATTGTCAGCCAACTAGAGTGATACTTCCTAACTGTGCACAACCTGAAGAAATCCGTCTACTGTAGTCGCCAGTCTCAACAACTATTTGTACCAGTAACACCGGAAACATGCGCCAACACAAACTGCTTAAAAACTAATACATGGAAAACTGATTTTTTTTGTGCATATCTTATTCGTTTCCGGCAAGGTCCAATAGCTTATGCAATGTTGTTAGGCAAAAGTCCGGTTACAGTACAATTCGTAAAATACCACTCTTACCAGTTTTGAAAAGACAGCACAGCAATGGAGCTGAGTGCATCGGTACTTGACATTTAATTGCAGTAAATCTATTAACATAATTCAAATTCCACGTCAATGAAAGTTTACATATCTCCAAACTAACATGATTGAACTAAAAAGCAATTTGCAGATTCATGTCCAACTGATAACTTATGCTTTCACTATCCAAGATTTGCTTGTTGTTACTAAATGTAGTACTTACCTTGTCTTCTGTCTGAGTGTCTCAGTGTTTTATCACGCTCAAGCTTGTTGGAACTTTTTCTTAAGC